CAAATTATCAAATAGAAGTCAGCAGAGAGACCCACTAAAATGGGGGGAAGGGGCAAGGACCACAGTTGAAATAAAAACTTTTATCTCTTTGAAGAACACTCTGATATTTAAATCAGAAAGATGAAGAAAGGCTCTTCTGATTAATTTCACAGAACCATCAGCATAAACGAAACACCTGACAAAGGGTATAAAGGGGAAAACCCCCAACTTCACAGAGAATAGATGCCAGCATTTTCTAAGTGAAACAGAATCACAAAGTCATCAAAGTACAATATGCCAGAGTATAGTTTACTGCAGAAATGCAAGGCTCATTTTAAAACTTTCATCATACCAACTGAGAAGCAAGCATTTATCGGTGAGTGGTACAATGTCATGGAAGAGTTTGTTAGGAATGGTTACTAACTGTTATATGAAATACAGGAGGAAACATACACACATACACCGTAACAGGAAGAATTTTTAAAAGCTTTCTTTTGCTAAGATGATGGTTTATATATGTAGAAATCTCAAGAACTCTAGGCTGAAGCTCTTGAAGACTTTACTATGACAGGTATGGGTAAAAATTCTTAACAGACAGTCCTGGTGGCACAGTGCAGTATATGCTAAGTGAAAATTCACAAGTTAGAATTTATCAGGTGCTCCTCGGGAAAAGACGGGTAGTCCCCATCTGTAAAGATTTAGTTTTAGAACCTTGATGGAGGGTGGCCACGAGTCAGGATTGACTCAATGACAGTGAGTTTTGTTTTTTCCCAGTCCTTGACAGCAATAAGCTGGAAATGTAAAAAACAAACAAACAAACCAAAACAAAAAACCTCAAACCAGGGAGGAGGGAAAAATATTAGCAACATATTTAACCATAGAGCATAGCATCTATCTGAGATGGCCAAGTGGTAAGAAACTGTGTTGCAATCCTGAAGGTACGTGGTTCAAGGCCACAAGCTGCTCCAAAAGGAGGATGGGCAGTCTCTTCCCACACAATTAATTGCCTCTGAAAACCCACCAGAGGGTCAGCTATGTGACTCTACCGTAAACAACAATAAGTGGTAAGAAGCTGTGCGGCAATCGCAAAGGCACATGGTTCAAATACCAAAAGTACACCAAAGTATTTAGTAGTGCAAGTTCTTAGGACTGGAAAAATGGACAAATATATGAATATACAATGTATGGAAGAGATAACCCAAACAGCATGCATGAACAGCTGTTCAGTAATTAGTAGTTAGAAACTGTAATTAAAGTAACAATGCTAATGTATAATTATCAAGATTGGCAAAACTTTAAAAGATGGTAATTTTTGCTACAAATGGGAAAACAAGAAAAGTGCTCTCACACACTATAGAAAGAAATGTGCAATTAAGAGTCTACAGAAGACTAGCAGTATCAACTAAAATCTATCTTGTGACACAGCCCACAGGGAGTTGTCCTGCTAATCTAAAAGCACAAATCCATCAGTATCTCTGCAGGAGACAGATGAATGTTCTCCTCTTGTAAAATTTACAGCCTTTGAAAAACACACTGGATTGTCAGCTATTAGTGGGTTCTGACCCAAAGGCAATGGGATTTTCCTTGATTCTTAACAATTATATTATTATATATATATGACATATGTTATATATGATATTTCCCATTTATGACAATAACTTTTTCTTTTCGGGACCATGACAGAGATTGAGGCTCTTAACAGTTACAGCTTGCTCGGTTCCACAATCAACACTCTTGGCACCAGCAATCAGGAAATCAAAAGGCAAACGGCATTAGTAAACCTGCTGTCAGGGACCTTTCCAGAGTACTGAAAAGAAATGATGTCAGTCTGGAGACTAAAGTGTGCCTAATCTAGGCCATGGTCTCTGCAATTAATTGCAATGCATCAGAGAGCTGGACAATGACTAAGGATGACAGAACAACTATTGATGCCACTGATTTGAGAAGGGACTTGAACATACTATGGACTGCCAAGAAAACAAGTAGGTGTGTCCTGGAGAGGGTGAAACCAAGTTTCTCCTTGGAGACTAGGATTCTGAAGCTTGGCTCACATACTTTGGGCATGTGGCCAGGAGGGATTAGTCCTTGGAAAATGATCATGTTCAAAAGGGTGGAGGGGAAAGCGCAGGAGAGGAAGACCCTGGATGAAATGGATTGATACAGTGACTGGGGTAATGCGGTTAGGTGTGCTGGACTCAGCAAGACTGGCTCCGGACAGTGTACATAAGGTCGCTATGAATTGCAGGTGACCTGAAGGCACATAACAACAACAGCAACTATGTTATATCTTAACCTACATTTCTTTCCCTTGTTGGGCTCCAAGTTCATGCATGTCTGTTAGGCTCACAGCTGAAGCAGCCAGCACTCCAAAAGCCTCTTCCTGCTTGTCGCATCTCCATCACAAGAGCTCTTGTCTCTCTGTGTAAAAGAAGTGAATGACGTAGGTTTCGAAGGAACCCTTCTGAGAAGAGCCCACAAGTGGCTGGGGATGGGGGCAGGGGCGTCAGGAAGTCTAATGATGAAGGTGCAACTCACCCAAGCTGTGGTATTTCCAGTTGCTTCATACACATAGAAAGTTGGACGACTATTTGACCCAGCAATTCCACTACTGGGAATATACCCTGAAGAGACCATAGCTGACATCCAAGCAGATATATGCACACCCATGTTTATTGCAGCTTTGTTCACAATAGCAAGGAGTTGGAAACAACCTAAGTGCCCATCAACAAACGAATGGCTAGAGAAGCTGTGGTATATTCGCACAATGGAATACTATGCTGCATTAAAAAACAAGGAACTCATGCAATATTATTCAAAATGGTTGACTCTGGAGAACATTATGCTGAGTGAAATATCCCAGTCACAAAAGGACAAATATTACATGATGCCACTGTTGTAGAATGGTTTAGATAAAAATGAACAGTATGAACACTGGTAGTTGAAATGACATCCAATTTGTTTGTTCGTTCTATCTTGGCACTGGGATTGATGTTAGACTCCTTGGTCCATGTTTCAAGATGGATCAGGTGGGTAGCTGACATCACTGCCAACCCCATGAGCACACGTTGCTGTGGCTGGCATGGCATGGCACCAGGAGAAGAAAAACCCCCAACCCTGGGGGCCAGCATGACTCGCTGGGGGCTCACTGGGAATAGTCTGCTCTGCTCCCTGCTGAGAGGACCACGGGCTGAAGAGGGGGAATAGAGGTGGTCAGGGTGTGGGAGGGGCAACCTGGTCCCCCCAATACCACATGCCCACTGTGAGGGTGGATCCCCTGGCACAGGGAGGGCCTGTGGGGGAAGCTGGGAACAGGGAAGGTGGCCACTGAATGAACAGTGAAATAATAAGTATTAAAAAAGGAATGGGTATGTCAATCAGTGAGTGACTATATGCACTCCTTCCTTAGGATACAAATACCAGCTTGATATGCAAAAACAAGCTTGTGAAAATGGAGGGTAACTACATTATCATGTAACTTCCAAATTACATCATTACATAACAGCAAAACCATTAAGAATCATGGTCTAGCCACACACACACAGTCTAACACTTTGGTGTTGATTAGGCAATTAACAAGAAAATAGATAACAAATGTTTTATTAGTAAATTAAAACTGCTGGATAATAAGAGAAATAAAGAAATAATAGTGTATTTTGAGACACTAACTTCAAAACACTTTAAGCAGACAGGTAACTTAGAGTAGGAAGAGAGAGCATTCTTATCCATTTGAGACTCAATTCTTGAGGCAACAACATCTGAGAGAAAAGATACTGTATTCATAATGTGAAAACAAGACAGCAAATAAAAAAATGAGGAAACAGGGCTTTTAAGTTGATTTTAAAAACACAAAAGAAAGACTGGCAGTTGAAGAAGGTAAATTACAAAGATCAAGGACATTCCCACTAAGAGGGGCAATAGGACTAACCTAACAAATTCCCTCCTTTCTGTGCTTATCAATCTAGAGAGGTGAGAGTGGGGACCTGCCTCTGGAGTTGGATTCCTCATTCCTAGTGAAACGGGGATTTGCAATTCTCTACATCATCTCAGGTAATGCTG